TAGAGGTCTCTCCTTGATTGCAGCGGAAAGGTCTCTCCCAGAGAAGATTTTTCTGTTTTGGTTCGGTCCTCGCTACCTTATTTGATGTCTTTGTTGGAGCAGAGCCTGGAAGGAAGACCTCTAACGGTGTCATTACTGAGACTCCATTCCGCTCTAGCTGTCCCTGACTTCCATTCGCAGCAAGGGCCCCCTGCCCCCAGAAATTGCAGTCTTCAGGTGGAAGGTGCTTCATGTTTTATTTTGTGCATAATATAAGACTGGCATGTGTCCTGTCTGTATTGCATTGGGCACCAGTTTGAGACATCAGTAGGTGATTGTATATTCCCACAACTGGAAATGAGATGAAAAGTAGGAATCGGTGAGTGTGGAATCTAGCCTCACTTAGAGGAAGTACAAGCACCTGTGGGCCTAGTAAGTTTACCCTTCTCCAAACCTAGTCAGGGGTCAGAGCAGCTCCACTGGAGAGCTGTGGGACCACCAGTGGAGAGACGATGACACCATTTACTGAGTGTCTGCTACGCCCTTGTCATCAGGCACTCAGTCAGAGAATCTATGCTGTTTGCTTTTTTTTTTAAAAGGGTCAGTAGTGCTCACTTTGGTAGCGCATATACTAAAATTGGGACGTTACGGAGAAGAATAGCATGTCCCCTGTGCAAGGATGATACCCAAACTCATGAAGCATTCAATATTTTAAAAAAAGGTCAGTAGCTTTATTTCATAAAGAGGTCTGTGATGCAAAACCCCCCACAAAAACCGAAAGACCAAAGGGGAAAAAAAAAATCCTGAAAGGGGGTGGAGCAGGGGAAATAAGACAAACTTTTGACTAGGCTGTCAGCCAAGAAAAGGCGGAAAGGCAGGGACCACAACTGTCTTCCTAGCCTTAAGTGCTTGGCACAGAGCCAGGCTCCAGTAGGCACTCAATAAAGAGTCGTTGAATAATAGAGTGTATTATATTTTCATAACAGTTCTATAAAGTATGTATTGGTTTGTACATTTTAATAGATCAGAAAACTGAGGCTCAGAGAGGTTAAATAACTTGCCTTTGGTCACACAGCTGGAATGTGGCAGGCCTGTGACTGAGAGACCTCATTACGTCTAAGCTGTGGTCCACACGCCTTCAGTGGGCTAAAATAGAGGGCATGGTAGGGACAGTTCATCTCCCTTGCTGTCTTGAACATAGTCACACCCAGTTGCTTTGTATTTGTTTGGTGTGTTTTTTTGCTGTATTTTTAACTTTAAGTTTTGATATAATTTCAGAATTCCAGAGAAGTTAGCAATAAGAATATAAATAATTCTCAGACCCTTTGCCCATGTCTGTAGAGGTATATTCTTGGAAGATCTTGATTTGTGAGCTGTTTTAACGCCAGATCAGGCCACATTGCATAAGGATTCCCGGGTGTCTTTGAGGTAGGGTGTGTCCCTATGAGAACGTTTACGGGGTGGGGGGAGAGGGGTGTGTGTGGAAAAAACAGCCATGTGACCCCACCCAGGAAGTGAAGCTAACCCAAGAGCAGCCCTCAAGGGCTTGTTGGATGAAAACATGAGAGAAGAGTCTAGGGTTTATAATTTTGCGTGGAAGAACTCCCCCTCTGAGAAACTGGAAGGTTTGGGGACTATAAAAGAGAAGTGGCTTGTGAAAAAGATGACTTCAGCTTCCCAATCGGGCACTCTCAGGCGTGGCATCATACCCTCCTGGCTGCCAAGAACAACAAGTGAAGCGCTCACAGCCGGCTGCACCCCATGCCATTTCCTCTCCTCACCATCGCAATTAAAGATTAATGTTTATACTGTTTTATCTGTTCCACGCCCGCCACACAGGTTGGTTTTTTTTTTAACTCTCTCCTTGCTTTCACTCTTGGTACCCGTTGTAGCTCCTTTCTCCCCCTGGTTTCCCGGTTTTCCTCCTCTCGGCTCAGACAGCTGTATTCCCAAAAGCATGATATTTGGAGGAAGGGCAGGTGGATTCTTCCCCCCGTGAGAGGAAACGGGTCTCTTTTAAAGGGGCAAACAATTTGGAAGTTTTCCAAGTCAGGAGAGTTTCTCCAGTTCTGACACTGAAAGAAATCAGTGTCCTCTGCTCCAAAGGCTGAGTTTGTGACTCTGTCTTTCCCCTGCGCGGGACTCCTTCCCTGGAGAATCCATGCTCAGGTCTCCTTCCCCGACACTCCTCACTCACCCTCAACCTGTGCCGGACAGTGAGCGCTGCGAGGGCGAGGGTGGTGCCCCTGGTTCAGGCGTGTGCCGGGTGCGTCGGGGAAGCCCAGCAGCTCCGTAAGCAGGCCTTGGTCTGTGGCTTTGGTGTGCAAATGCCGCATCAGTTGACTTAAAAATACAGGATTGTATAAGAGTAAATCTGAAAAGTTCTCATCACAAGAAAAAAAATTGTAACTATGTGAGGTGATGGATGTTAACTGAACTTATTGTGATCATTTTGCAATATGTACGTATATCAAAGTGGCTGTCCACTTAAAATGAATACAGTGTTATATGTCAGTTATAACTATCTCAATAAAAAAAAACAACAAAACAGGATCACAGCCTTTTAGGTTTCAGCTGCTTCTGGGATTTACTTTCCAGTCGATCTTTTAATAATGAGAGTTCAGCCTTGGATGAGATCTTCCTGGGTTTTTAATCTCTGGGAAGGCAGGAGAGTCATTACACAAGTACGTGTCAGTTGTCCATATGTGGACGATCCAGGGAAGGCTCCTCTTCCCAGGCTGGCTTTCTCCTTTGAGGGTCCTCAGGCTTCTGGGAGTGCCGAAGTGTGGGTGCTAGGTCCTGTGAGCATCGGCCAAACCTGTAACTAAGAACCGATCACATGGATGCTGAGTGAAATAAAGTCAGGCAGGGAAGGACAGGAACCACGTGAGTTCACTCATGTGGGATATAAAGCAGAAAGCAGCAAAGGAACAAACAACACAAACTCATAGATCCAACAGAATGACGGGAACAGAGAGGAGCGGGGTTTGGGGAGCATGAAGAGGGGAAAGGAGATCAAATCCATGGTTACGGAAGGAAACTACTAGATTTTGGGTGGTGAGCACACATTGGAATGTATGTAAAGTCGTACACCTGAGAGTTACATACTGCTGTTAACCAGTGTCACCCCAGCAAACTAAGGAAGGTTAGTAAGCCCAGCACAGGATTCTTCGGTGACAGACCAGGACTAGAGTCTGGGTCTTGCTCCCTTTGCCCTGCCAGTGTCGTATCCACACCTAGGAAATGGACTGGAAGCAGGGTAAGCACAGAGATGCAAAATATGTTCTAAATTTCCTTGGAAACAGTCGTTGAAGCTTCTCAGAAGTTATTTTAATGCACACCTTTTTATTTATTTTTCTCCCTAACCAGTAACACCAAAAAATAAGATTGCTCTGGGATTTTATAGTGGCAGATAGACTGCTCCCAAGGGAATTCGAGGCTGGCCCTCCCGAGACTAGGGAAGGACCATACTGCCTTGTGCTGATAACTCCTCCAGCATTTTTCCAACGCTGGCCCGTCGGGCTTCACCAGCACAGCGCTGACATCGAAGTTTCCGAGACCATTTATAGTCAGCACACCCCTCTCAGGGTCTAGAATCAAAGCACTTGAGACCTGAACGGATTGGGAGCTGTTTTATTGTCTTAAAGTGTCTGTGCAAGCTCTGCGTCAGCCGATCTGCTGTGTGGGACTACAGCTCGCAGCGGGCGATGGGAACGGATGCCTGCCCGGGTCGTCTCCAGCCCTGAGGGTGGGGTGCTGGATGCGGCTGGGAAAGCGGCACCTCTTCAGAGGCTTACTGGGGGGATAAATAATACGATTTTAAGTGCTCTTTTTGTCTTGAAGATTGTTAGATCCCTTCGTCTTGTCTGAGTTGCTGTTCTGGTTTGAACTTGATTGTGCAGCCTTTCTTTTAAGTTTTCGAGCACCCACGTGGGAACAGTGGGCGTAAAGGACCTGGATTAACATTGAACTTGGTCTCTGAACTGGCTGGGTTGCCCAGACAACAAGCCACTTGACCTCTGTAAGTCTCAGTGTCCCTATCTGTAATGTGGGGTGCTGATTAGCTCATTATCGGGAGGGTCAAATGAGGACACCCTGTGGAACCACTTAGTGGTTTCAGTAAACGTTTGGAGTTACTTTGGGGTCTGCCTTCAGATAAGTTCTGTCACTTCCACAGAATAATTTTAGTTACTATTGGCAGGTTACTTTACTTCTTAGAAGTTGATCTCATCTGGAAACTGGAAGTTAAACTGTTGGGAGAATTAAATGCACTACAAAGTCAGGTGCCTGGCATCCCTGGCTCCATGGGGGTCACGTAACTGGGTGTTCTTCGGTTACGTGGTAGCCTTTGCATGGTGATATACACTGGTCACACTCTTTGAGACAATAAACCATTAGTGAATTCTTCACAGTGGTGAGAGCGTTTAACTAATATTGTCCCTTGCAGAGACTGAGTGGGGAGACCGGAGGGGTGGGGGTGAGAGTGGGTGGGTAGGGGAAGTCTGGCTCCTTGTATCTTGACGTGAGGATTTGTTTGGAAAATAAATTTCCTTCTGGTAATTGTATATAATGTGACAGGTCAGTGATTGGGGCCACTTAACTTTTATTAACTACTGTACAATATTGTAAAGCTGTAAAACCATAAAGGCCATAAAATTTGCTAGAGAAGATTTTGGTATGTGTCTTTAAATATCGTTTAAAGTGTAAATAACCAATCTAGCAGGTACTTCTAGGGAATGGCATTTTTGCAGAAGGGAAAATTAGCAAAGGCGGTTTTGCAAAACAGTATTTAATGAAGTGTTGCTTTTAGCCGCTGACAAGGTAGTTTTTGATATACGCCTCAGGAAGACTATAGCCCGAAGGAATGAGAACCGAAGTTGGTGGATGAGAGTTTGAAAGTCTGAGAGGGGGACAATGTGAGTGAGTGTTTCTCAAGGTAAAGTGCTCCACAGTTGGTCATAGTGGTCTCATGTGTCAAGAATTCTGGCTTATCTGCATTTTTCCCCCTGATTGCTCATGTGTGGCATGGTTTGTTTTTCTTCTAGGATGTGGAGAAAGAGAAGGAAACCCACAATTACCTCAGCAAAGAGGAAATCAAAGAGAAAATTCATAAATACAATTTAGCAGTCACAGACAAGTTGAAGATGACCTTGGTAAGCACCCTGCTGCTCTTTAGGTTGACAGAGGTCAAAAACAAATACAAGTTGTTGCTTCTACAATCTGTCTGTATGTTTTAAAATCTCTGAATCACACTTGCAGAAGGTTAATGGTCCAGCTACGTAGGACAGGAAAACGTTTCTGCGTCTTTCAAATTAAAGCTCTATTTTGAAGTAGCTTTGTCTCAAAATCAGTTCAATGAAGTTAAATTTTATTTTAAAAGATTTTTTTTGTGCCCCACCCATCCCCGCCAAAGGATTTCTAGCATCGAGTGGAATTGCTGCCTGTTTAACATAGAGGCGGTAACTCAGATTCTAATAAGGCCGTACATGCATTTTATCTTGTGTAAATAAATTTGGGAGGATCAGGAAAAGGGGTTTGTGCCAGTGGGTTGGAATAGAATGGAACTCAGACTTTTCTCAGCTGGATGTCGAGGGTAAGATGAAGCATGTAATGTTGGGCTCCCTGTGCATTGTTGATTCAGGCTCCTGCAGCATCGTACCAACCCTGTTGGACGCTTAGTGGGGGGTGAGGGTGCAGAAGGGGAGCAGAGGACTTGGAGAGGAAAGGAGAGCAGACAACAGAGCCCGAGTATTCGTGCTCCTCTGCCCTGCACTGGCATCTATACCTTGCCCGTTCCTCGCACCACCCCCCCCCCATTGGTGACTTTCCTCGAGGCACCTGCCATCCCTTGGTGCCAGTTTCCAGGGCCCTTGGACCCCTGCCTCTCAGTGTATTGACTGTGAGCTGACTAGAGTTCAGCAAAGGACAGGGTGACCCGTTTAGAACAGGCCCTACTGAATTCTGTGACCCGGGGGGAGGAGCTTTTAAATATAAACTCTTGTGATAAAAGATCTCTCCCCTAGTGGGACTTGGCCAAAAAGGGGAGAGGGGCAGATGAGCTCAAGATTACTCTTCATTATCCCAGCAGTGGTGTTCTCCTTTTTCAAACAGTTTTCCTCAAAGTAGAAAAATTCCACGCCCCTCTTCTGTGGAGATTAAAACACATGCAAATGTTCACGTTGTTTAATAGACGGAAAACTTTAAATGTTGTGTAATATTTTCCACGGGACTAAACAAGTGAATTAGTATTGAAAGTGAACCCGTGGAAAGGGAGAAAAATCATGGAGGTTTTCAATGTCCTACTTTAACTGTGTCATTTAGACATAACACCTGAGGATTTATTTAAATAAAACATTACAATAAATTTTTTTCTAAATATAGTGAATGTAAAATACAAAGTGAAGACAAGACCGTTATTACTGTTTTTGGCAACTAAGAAATAGTAATTCTACCATAAATTAAGATAGATGCTAAAACTCATCAAATTGTGTATATTAAATATATGCACTATTTTTCAAATGAAAATTATACCTCACTAAAGCTCGTAAAAATATATGTATATATAGAAGGAGACATAAATACCATGTTAAATAAAAAAAAGACAAGTGCTTATATTATAATATCTATAGTTCACACTGTAGCTTGAGTTTGTTTTAAAAATGATGTTGCCTGAGGTGCCTGAAATGCACTTTGTGCCCTGTGCTCCACGGGATATATTTATATAAAAGACTTTCAGTGAAATTGGTAATCTGGTACATTTCATAACAGCCAGTAGGATTGAAAATAGCTTGTTTTCGTAATGCCTACTCCTTGTTGACTTAGGTATTTCAAAGTCCTAATTGTGACCTTCCTTTTCTGTGTAATAGCTGGTTATCAGTTACAGATGTCGTTCCTTTGAGCAGCTGGCCGAGACCTGTCCCCCAGGCTTTAATAGGCCCCGTGGTTTGGCCAGCATCTTCTGCAGTGGATGGCGACCTTACCAGTGGGCCCTGGTCTTTCCTGTGCAGCCTCAGAGGCGTGAGTCTGGACTTCGGTCTGCAACCGTGTTAGGAGGCGTCTCCTGTCGCCACATCTGCCCTACAGACCTCGCCTCTGGAAGCACTTTGCTGGGGCTGCTGACCTCAGAGGTCATTCTCTTAGGGACGATCTCTAGTGAAGTTAGGCCACAATGTTGTAAGTGGAAAGAACATGAAAAGAGCATTTCACCTTCCTTGTTTTGTTTTAATATGACCTTCCCTCAAACGCCACCATCAGCCCAGCTAAGAGTGTGTTTTTCTTCCCGCTTCAGAATCCAAATGGGACTTACACTGGCTTCATTAAAGTGCAGATGGAACTCTGCAAACCTCCGCAGTCTCCGAGCACCGGGAGACCCGCTCCCAGCAGCATTGGCTGCATGAACACGCTTCACATCAGCAGCACCAACACCGTGGGCGAGGTGATCGAGGCCCTGCTCAAAAAGTTCCTCGTGACCGAGAGCCCTGCCAAGTTTGCACTTTATAAGCGTTGTTACAGGGAAGATCAAGGTACATGCCTCTCTTAGGATGAACACGGTCCCTGCTTTCATTTATGTCTTTTGTGCTGATTAGCAGAAGGAAAACTAGCAGATATATCTGTGTCAGTTATGTCAGAGCCAGGAACAGGTTCTGGAGGACATGTGGTCATGACATGAGCTTATGCTTCATGGCTGTCCATGTTTTTTTCAGTTGGATAGTTGTGCATCTGAAGAGCTCAGGGGCATCCACATGTGATGGGCATTTATGTGCACAGGGGGATGGCTTTGAATTTTTTTTTTTTTTTGGTAGCCTTGATTTTTAATGTTCTTTGGGACAAAAAAGGAAGCCCCTGTGCTTGAAGTTTATAGTAGCTCATTCCATGTTAGATGTGCAACTGAACAGGGATTGGCCTGGTGGACTTGTGGCCTCTGAGACTTTGAGGATGGGAGGCCCGTGTGCATGTCCGCACGTTTCAGACTTAGTGACGTAAATAGCACAGCCCCAGGCCCTTCTCTTTCCTTAGCTTGTCTCTGGCCATTACATTGGGGCATTTTGGCACGCAGCCCTGCAGAGGCACTTACAGTGGGTGGATAACATTGTGATCTGGGATCTGCCTATCTGAACTTAATACCCATACACAGTGGCTAGAAAGGGAATATTAAATTTCTGTGTGAAACAGAATAAGATATTCCAGGTCAGGTACTCGGGCAAAAATTGATACCTGTGGTGGACAACAGTGATTGAGTGGTTGACTCAAGTGCTAATTTGAAAATGGTGTCTGTGTGTGAGAAGGCAATTGTTTATATTCTCTGGTTTTTCTGGGTAAAGCCTAAAGCACCTCTAGAAGAAAACAAACTAACGTGACATGATAGGAGTGCCCTCAGTTGCATGGGGATGGAACCCAGCTAGTTGCTGAATGTGTGCACATTTTTTGAATACATACCATGTATGGGCTGAGTCCTGTGGAATACAGGGATGAACCGACCAAGGTTTCCACCCTCGAGGCCACAGGCTCAGTGAGTGGGGCAAGTTCACATCTGTGGGGGAGTGAGCACCTACGGTGCAGTTGTACCGGAAATGCCAAAGTGATCTAGATAAGCTCAGGTGGCATTTTTATCTTGCCAGCTTTGCTGGCTCACCTGGACTTCAGCTGTACAGTCCTGTTGAAATATTACCTTTATGGCTGGCAGATCTTTTAACATTACAGGCAATGCCAGGAGAGAGAGAGAGAGAGAGAGAGAGTGTGTGTGTGTGTGTGTGTGTGTGTGACAATTAGCTGTGCTTTAAAGCCACCAGAGCTTGTATTCCGACTGCTTAGTTTGTGGCTGCAAATCCTAAATCTTCAGAGAGATTTGCTCCTTGAGCTCTGACTCCATGCTCTTTGGATGGTATATTTCTATTGTTTTTAAAGGGGTTGCAGATCCTTTTTTTTAAAAAGTTTCTTATCTTGCTTTCTAAGAGGAGCAGAATTCTTTATGTCTGTTTTGGAGATGAAAACCCATTTAAATTCATTCTTGAAAATTATTTCCGTTTTGACCTAGGCACAGTTTATATTGTGCAGCTAGAAAGAGGGTAGTATAGATTTCATTCCGCTGTGAGGAAGGTGGTTGACTTGGGGGCTGCTGCCTGGACCTGGAGGAGGGATGGGGGGGTCCAGGGAAGGAGTCGGTGCCCTGGGAGTGACTTGTTCCTTGTTTCCTTGCCCAGTCTACGCCTGCAAGCTCTCAGACGGGGAACATCCACTCTACCTGCGTTTGGTAGCAGGGCCCAGGACAGACACACTTAGTTTTGTTCTCCGTGAACATGAAATTGGAGAGGTAAGTGATTGTATATTATTGCTTTAAACTATACACACCAGCTGGGCCTGTTTTAATTGCTCTAGTCCAGTGAGTTTACCATTGGAAAGGAGTGGGTGGGGGGAGAGTGGGAGGGGTGTGGGGGTGGTCCTGTGCAGGGCAGCTTTCTGTGTGTTTTTTGAATTGTTAGAAATGAACCCAAAATTAGTCTACAATATAATTCTTTTACAACACTCATTATATTGGTCTACAATTTTCAGAGGTGGAGGAAATAAAGTTTTAACTTGATTTCCACCCAAAGAGTCATTTTCGCCCCCTCTACCTCTAAATTCCTCTAATCCAGCTGAACTTTGAAAGCTGACACTCTCCATATGTTTGCGACTAACAGAGTCTCCAGGCTAATTCACTCCAAAGGGAAATAAAAGGGAATTCAATCTCTTTACCAGGAAAGACATTTAACTTTGTAGAATCTTTTTTTCCTCTTTGCCCAGATGATTAAGAAATTATGTTTATGTATATAGCATCATTTGCCATTTTTCTCTCCAGGGAGGATTGTATTTAGGCCAATTCAGTTGAAGGAGAAAGCACTTTTGACTGTCCTTCTAGATCAAGTGTCAACTTTAAAAGGACACTTGAGCAAGTCTCTCAAGCTCTGGGTCTGCATCTTTTGTCTGTAACAGGAAATGGTCTGAACTGTCCATTTTGTAATGCAGCGAGAATAGGGCTTCTAGGGTTAAGAAGTTAGGCCACCAGGACTCTGCCTCTGTTAGATTAGGAGTGTGACCTTGGGTAAATCTAATCTTTTCAGTCCTCAGTTTTAACATCTTTGAAGTGGGACTAAGGACTTTAGAAAGTGGTTTTAAGTCGCAAATTAGAAATGTATGTAACCATGCTTTGTAAATAGTCTGTTTATGTCCGTGCAAATTGGAACTTTGTTTGGGGAGTTTTCGGAAGGCCGTGATTGTGGACATTTTTGAAGTTTCTTTTGATTCTGATGTCCTGAAATTTTTAAAATTCGCTGTCATTTTGGGGAGAAAACTGGGTCTGGCTTTGGTCTGACACCTGGCAGCGTTTCCTCTGAAAGCCTAAGCGGACATGTCAGCATAGCCTTGCCAGTGTCTAGTTTTCCTGGCTATTGGTGTGGGAAGTACTGCACATAGTTTAGTGCAATTAGAGCTGCATTTATTGTCCGGGAGGGAATTACGATTTTGAAATTTACATGGTTTTAATGTTCCGAATTGCTTTATTAGATTTCTGTATGGCGCTCTTATTTCTTGGTGTTTTAAGGTTAGCTAAATTGAGGGAAGAAATTCCATAGCTGTCAGGGAGAGGGAGGAACTTACTTTATTTTGGAGAACATGGGTGAAAAATAAAATGCTAATTTTTAAAATTTAACAGAATATTCCAGTGTACAAAGTTTTGCTCTCCTATTCCATTTTCTCATTTTCTTTTATAACCAGCTCAAGCGCCATCTCTGGGAACCTTCTCTCAGGGAGCCCACTAGGCGCTTTTATTCCGTCTCCTCTCTGTTCACTGTATTGGATTATCCCGGGCCTTCCCCTGCCCCACCCCCTGGGAATTCTCATCAGAGTTGTGACTGGCTGTGGCGGAGATCTGCAGCCGGGACCCAGGGCCCCTTTTGGGAGGGGAGGATGTAGAGTTTGGAAAAAACCTCCCAGGTGATGCCATATACCCTTCTTGAAACTTCCTGTTCTAATGGAAAAATAAAAAACCACCCACAAATGTTTATTTTGTGCCTTCTAAGTACCAAGTGCTCCTAGGGAAACAAAGCTCAGAGCCTCTCGGGCAAGAGACAAAGCCCAAACAGTGAGAAGTATGACAGCTGCAGTGTAGGTGAGAGAGATACTCAGCAAGTAATTATAATTATTTTCATATCTTTCTCTGATCAGGGTTACCATTGCTCAGTGAGAGCTTTCTAATAGACTTAGTCCCGGGTGGAAAGGGAGGGGAGGAAGTCATGGAAGGCTTCTTAGCGAAAGTGGCATTTAAGCTGAGACTTGACTGTTGGGTAGGAGTTTGCCAGGCAGAGTGGAGGAGGGAGGACATGTGCAAAGGCACTTGGGGTAGTAGGTGAGGGGGACAGTGTAAGAGAGGTTAGGGTCGCCCTAGCTGGTTTGGCTCAGTGGTTTCTAATGCTCTGGGGGTCCTCCAGAAGTGAACATGTCTGATGGACTTGGGGACGTGCAGGTCCTGGCCTTGTGAGAAGCATTTGGGAGGACAGTGGAGGGGGGAGCAGAAGGGCAGTTGGAACCACTGGGCGGGGTGGGTGCGGCAGGGCTGGTAGCGGGGCTCTGCTCTCGGAAGCCTGGGCCTCAGCCTGGGCGCGGGAGCCGCCAGCCTCCCGGTGCCCATGGGCGGCGGCATTGCTGAGTCCTGCCGGAAGGAAACGCCTGGCATTTTCCCTTTTGCCTTCTCACAGTGGGAAGCCTTCAGTCTCCCAGAGCTGCAGAATTTCCTGCGCATCTTGGACAAGGAGGAAGATGAGCAGCTGCACAACCTGAAGAGGCGCTACACGGCCTACAGGCAGAAGCTGGAGGCGGCCCTGGGCGAGGCCTGGAAACCTGGCTAGGGCGCGGCTCCTGCTGGGCGCAGGGCCTGCGACCGACCCGCAGCGCCGCGAGGCTCTTCTCGGAGGGCTGTTTCCTTGCCCCGTGATGCGAGGGTCTTACCCTTTTATCTCTAGAGTTAGGTCCCCAAACCTCGGCCGCAGCGCCCTGCGCCTCCGCACCCTCTGTCCCGTCGGGCCCTGCGAGCTTGTCTGTTACAGCGCTGCGGTGTCCCTCCGGCAAGCTGTGAACCTGGGGCGGTCGTGAGGGCTTGGAAGCATGGACTCTGGGTTTTGTTTTCTCTTTTCCTTTTAGTCATTTTAATTATTTGATGATGATGTTAAGCTTAAGGATGTGCAAATGATTTTTAAAAAGCTTAACAAGGAATCTATCTGAATACTTGTCCTATGTTGAAACTACCTGTCTGTTGTTCTTGTTTTAAATTTCAGAGGGGACATCCACGTGAATTGAAAGGCACAGGAAGCTAGGAGCTGTGAGGAATTTGTGAAGGATTTTGGAAGAGCTTGACATTTCAAGAAAGTGAAGAGCAAGTTTGGGAGAGAAGGCATGAGTGGAGGCTGAGGGAGCTCTGAGCAAGGATATTTTGGGCAGTGAGTTGATGGTGGAGAGCGAAAGGTGTATTTGGTTGTAAAGGAGTTAAAAGCATTCAGTTCCGAGTTGTTAAACCCACTGCAGGACTGCTTGGTTTCTTGGTGAATGAAATGTGGGAACAGAGCCAAAGAAGGTAGGAGGTAGACGAAAGGGAGGGACGGTGAGTGAAGCTGGCCAGCAGGTGATGCCCCAGAGCCCGGAGAGAGCTGAGCTGCCCTCGTGGGCCAGCGGCTCTGCCTTCCCAGAGTGGAAGGTGCAGCTTCTCTGGGCAGATGGAGCAGGGCCTACTTGCTAATAATACCTGTTAAGCTGTAGCTTTTCCCTGAGGTGGTTTTCAAAGCTGAAAAGGAGTCTGGGTAGGGGCCCCTGTTTCTCCGGATTGTTGGCTGGGAGATTTGTCCAGCAAAGAGCTCACTGCACACTTTGTGACAATCACTCCTGCATTTCCCTTTTCCATCCCCTCCCCTCTCCTCCTTCCCTCTCCCTCTCTCCTTTCCTTCTCCCTTCCTCTTACAAATTGAAGTCTGTTCTTACTTAACGGAGAGCAGGGGTGTGGGTGAAAGACCCAATACTACCAGAGCCTCGGTTCCAGAGGACTTGACTCGAGGAGGAGGGCAGCAAGAAAGGGAGGAAGGCCCGCCCCTAGCCCACCACAAGAGGGGCTCTTTATGGAAGCATTTTAACAAAAGTGCATGTTCCTACCAACCAAAGAAATGCATGTGCAATACAAGCCTTCCTTAAAGCAGATTAAATAACCTCATTTTATGCAGCAGTTAATCCGGAAACAATGCGAAAGGGGTGCTGCGGTTCTGGAGGGGGCTTTACAGTCTATTTTTTTGTCTAGATATATTTTTTGTTTATAAATTCCCAAGGAATTGTTAACGCTTTGGTGACACCTAATGGATTCTTTGTGAAATTCCAAGGTGCTTCAGCTCTTTGCCTTCTAAATGACCTGTGCCTTTTTACTGCATCTGTTTCCCTCTTGGTGGCTCTTCTGACTATCAGAGAACACCCATCCTTTGGAGGCGGCAGATGAAGCATTGGTGATGCTGTGCCACATGTTACCGAGACAATCATATCTTCCTAAGCTTTTCAAGGAAAGTTGGAAAAAAAAAAGTAGAGCTAACTATAAAATATGTATGGCACATCTTGTTTAATTTTGCATGCAGCTCTTCTTTTTAGTGCATTGATGAGGTTTTAGTGTCATTGTCATCCAACACTTTATTGTTCAGGGAATGCCTTCATGGTTTTATACTAGTTTTACTATTCAGACTGTGGCTTGGGTTTTGAGTATAGTGTTATCAACCACCTGGTCTTTTCCTTCCCCATCCCAGTAAGCTTATATTTTGTGAAGCATTTGTTTCTCAGATTAAGACACTGTTAGAACCTAATGTAGTAGCTGATGGGTATCTGTGAATTTTTTTTTTTTTTTGTACTTGAAGCAGATCGTCTGAAATAGGCATCCTCACCTGTATCATCCAGAACCCTGCTCACTGTCGTGTGCACTACAAGTTGCAATTCGGAAAACTTACTGTATTGAAATTCTGCCAGTTCATGGTTTCTGAAGACTGATGTTCTCTCCCAAACACTGGTTACTGCAGCATGGTTAATGTGTAAAAGAAGGGCCACTAAGGCCACTGGTTTTTAAAAATCATTGTGCAAATTCTTATGTTAAATTATCTAAGCTTTGCTGTGATACTGTTTTCTCTTCACTATGTGATGGTACAGGAATGATGTCAAATGAAGGGGGGAAGTATTGCAGGGGAGCATTTTAAATTGCAGACGTAAAAAGTTATAATATTTATAATTTTGATTAAGTTTATTTTTATAGGGAACATTTTTCTTCCCTAAAATTGTTTTTGGAATGGCAATTTGTTTCCATTATTAAAAGCTGATGTTGTCAGTCGATGTTTGTGTTTTTATTTATGATACTGCACCAGGTAAAAGGGTCACAGGAGCAGGAGAAGCGTCCTTCTCAGGTACGTGGGGACACATGCCAGAAGGTGACAATTTTTACTAGGTTTGAATGGGGCACATTTGTTCTCTCAAATGTCACGTTTCCTTTCCCTTATCCTTTGGGGAAAGTAATCCTAGCTGAGTGTCTGCCCATACAATCCATTCCTAAAGCAGTTTTAATTGTGAGATATGCAGACATTCGAAGTGTAGAAGCATATGAACAGTTTTATGTGGCCACTGCCAAATTAGAACATTGTAGGATTCTTAGATTTCTTCTCCCTCTACCCCCATTCTTACCCCTGAGGTCTCCCATCCTTGAAACAGACCACTTTCAACATAAAAGTATTTGTATTTTGGTCAACGTGACTATCTCACATGGCTGGGGAGCGTTTGGTGGTCAGCAGTGGGGAGCGACTGGGTTCATTTCCCACCCACCTGTGCACCACTGGCCTCTGGTCTTGGGCCTCCTGGCCTGCTGTAGATCCGTGTTTTTACTACTGCACTGCCCCCTCGCGGCACTGATGAAACAGCAAGGCTGCACTAATCCTCGAGGGGGAGCCGTTTCAAGAACTGGGGCTGCTTCACAAGTGAAAATACCATGTTGGAAAAGGATGGCTCTACATAGAGTTCCTTTTTCACGGAAATATCCAGAGGACTCTGATTTGTGAGGCCAGCCTTGGTTTTTATCCAAGGTGCCAGAGGGATACTTTAAAATTTTTATTCCTTAAAGGGAATTAGCTTCCTGCCCTAGGCTTCTCTTCAGAACTTATCACTGGTTGCGAAATCAGTTCTCAGGAATTGTATGCTTCGTTTGGGAATCTGTCCGATGATCCCAAATATGGGTTTTGTGTTTTTGAAAGAAGAGGGAAAGTACGATTTTCAAACAAAGTGCTTACCTCGTGCCAGGCGTTATTTTCAAAAGCTTTACTGTGTATTAACTCGTTTCCTCCCCTCCCCCCTTTTGCAGGTAAGGAAACATGCGCATCGAGGCCCAGCAGCTTGCCCGTGGCCCCTCTGAGCGAGCCAGCAGCAGGGCCAGGTCCTGGCAGCCGAGCTGCTGTGCCTCTCCATCCTTTCCTGCGAGCAAGCACATTCCAGTTTTCCAACTGCACTGCCTCTTCAGAGCCTTTTCGGCTGCCTCTAACACGCAGTTCATCAGAAAGCAGGCCTTTTTTGGTGTAGTTGAGATTTATGAGAAATGGAAGGGCAGCCTTGATGTCAGATGCTTTATCCATTTGTTTGTTCATTTAACATTCCATTTAAGTGATTATACTAAGTTACATAAAGTGAAACACCTACCTGTGTTTTCCTTTACAGGTTCTGTTGCATGGGAGAAACTGACAGGGCAGGTGACCCAACCCAGTGTTCTTGTTGCAATTAGCAAGACAACCCCCTGGAACCACCAGAAGACTAGCTTCAAAGTTCCTGAGGAGCCCCAAACACTTGCAAGGTTGGAGTTCTACTCCCCATCAAGGGTGATCCTGTTCAAAGGAACATAGGAAGCTAAGTGCTTAAAGTCATTAAGTGTCCACTTGTCTGGTGTGAATCACTTCTTGCTTGTGTAAGAAAGCAGCTTCCTATAAGGATTGGGGGAATGGGGCAGGGAGAAGGGAGTGGGCAGTGATAAAAACTGCAGAGTTTGGGGTTTTCTTTTGTTTCTTAGTGGTTTTTGGTTTCATTTTGTCTTTTGGTGAATTTTCCCCTTTAATTCTACAAGTTGAGAATGGTGGGGTACTAGGAAAGACCCTGTGATCTTCAGTAATGGTTTCCAAAAGCAGTTGTGATTTTCAGGTTTGGCTGAGGTAGCGCTTGGCAGCAGCTGAACTCCAAAAGCTCCTCTCTTCTTCCCGTTTCCAAGAAAAGTGAGTGTTGCAATTTTAAAATGCTTACACACAAACCCGAAAGAAGGGCTAAGTCTGGGTTTTGGATTCGTTTTGGGAGGGAGTTCTGTTAAGCAGGATGGTTTGTTTCTATCTTTCTGAACAAGGAGTCTTACCTTTAATGGGCCTTGCTCTTGAGTGGCACAGAGCTGGGGGCGTTTGCACACCTCCCCTTACCTGCCCTTTGTGGACATGTGGGATTAATTAAACCCTATGTGGTTCCTTCTCTTTGGAGTTCGGGGGGCTCTAGAGGGCTTTCTGATGATCAAATGCCATGACATTTGCTTAAATTCTAGGCATTCTGGAGCAGCAAACCGGAGTGTCTTGCCAAAGCTTAGAACCCTTGACTTATTATGATGGTACACGGGGAGGCACCTGCTCACGTTCCAGTCTTAATCTGAACTATAAATGGTGTCTTCGTATTCTTTTCAAAATGGCAAACATTTCGAGTGCTTTTCCTTGCATATGTGCTCTCTTAAGGAAGATGTTTAAAGTCAGTGATTTTTAGGTAAAACTGAGCATATCCTCTAATGCCTTATCAGTAAAAGGTGCTTGTCTGAGAACACAAGGGCAGCTATAGAAATCGAGGCGCCTGGGTCTCAGCTTTCAGAAAAGTCCAAGTTCCACTGCGTCTTTACCAAATAAACTTCCTCTGGGAGTTTGTGTGTGCTGGGGAAGGGCGTGAGCGTCAAGGCAGAGAACCGGCTAGTGGAGGGGTGTGGAGAGGCCACGGATGATGCTTCTGTCCCCTATGTCACCTCATGGTCCTCTCTCCCAGTTTGCTTTTTAGAATTTTGTTCTTTTGCAAGTAAGGTGATGAGTAGGGCTTGGGAAAAGTTATTTGTTACGAAGCTGGTAGTTGGGAAAGGGCAGTGTTTAGAATCGGTTGAAAGATTGCAAGAAAAAATGAGGTCCTTGTATTGAAATGGTTCCTTAAAAAAAGTTGGTAATTTGTGCAAAAGAGTAGTGAGTTCTGTATATTCCTAATTTTGCCTAGTTTCTGAAAAGCTTGCCAAGTGACAAATGCTGATGTTACTGCTGCTACCAACTCCTTGGTTCCCTCAGGAATGCAGTTTACAGTTATCTGCAGTACACAGCTTTAATGCATAGGATCAATAATGTTCTAACAACATTGAAACTTTCATATTATTAGAAATATGGTAGGATTGATGCTTATTAAAAGGAGATTATGGTTTCTCCTTCCCCTCCCTACCCCCCTTCCTTTTTTTTCCTTTCCCAGCCAACGGCTTGGAACTAAATCATATTTGAGGAATGAGTGTATCTGGTTTGATGTTGGGTTCTGTTATATCTTATCTGTATTCTTTTAACCATCCTTTTTTTTAACCTTTCACTTTATATTAGTTTCTTCTGTTCATTGCACTAAAAGAAACTTGAGTAGAACACCAAGTGTTTCAATTTCTTTCATTCATCAAATCTTTATAAATCACCCTGAGGATGTGAGGTGCTGGGTAGATTACGGTGAGAAAGAACATCATGACCCTTGTCTTCATGGAAACCAGAGTCCACATGTAATGCAAACTGGCAAGTGTCATGAAGATAAAGTACAGAGGGTTAGGAGAGTTTAGGAGGCTAGGGAAGGCTTCCTGGAGGAAGTGATTTAGAGCTGGGATCTTACGGATGAGTAGGAGTTACCAAGCAGAATTCATAACTTACAAGAAAATTTCCTACATGGTGGGCTGGTTTTGAGGTCTTTTGGCAGCGTGTTATATCAGGGCCGCTCTTGCTGCTTCCTCCATTATGAGAAAATAACTTCCACTAGGGCTCAATAACTCTCCCTAGGTTGAGCGTTCATCTTTGGCAAGAGCAGAGTTAAAACTTACAGTGGCAGTTGCTGTGGCTCAAACGCAACTTTTTTCCCTGTGAAGTGTCTGCTTACCTCACAGGGCTGATGTGAAGACCAACAGGATGGTGAGCGTGAAGGGACTTTGTACAGCGTAAAGCCCGATACAGTGCAGGGTGGTGCTATTTTCCAGGCTCTTGTTCCTGCAGTGGTGTTAATGGCTGCTCTACTCTTGGGCCAAGGTGCTGACACTGAAATTCATGCAATTTCCAAGAGGGACATTTTTCTAAGCAGGAACTTTGCTTTTTAAACTCAGGCTTAGGGAAGGAAATGGAGTTATAAGCAAAACACTCAAGATTCTAGGGCGATTGGCAGATCAAGAAATCAATATTCAGCACCTTCCCTTGTGCTTCCCATAAGTACAGTGGCAGAGTGTCGTCTTTCTTCTCTGGCAAGTTAGAGCCAGGTGCTCAGAGCGGCTGGGACTGAGGGATGCCGGTGCTGTCAGGTCACTGCGAGGAGGGTGATGCTGAGACATCCCGGCCAGAGGGCCCGCTGCAGGTGCAGTGTGGGGCTTCCCGTGCTGCTGCTCAGTGTTGTCATGCACGTGACTTCTCCCCAAGATAGTAATCCTCTGGACTGTATCTTCAGCTCACTTTGTCTCTCTCCCACCTGCGGGGCACATCTGTGGGACTAAACATTTCATAGATGTGTCAGAACAGCCACTGTGCCGCTTCCTGAGGCCCTTGTTTACCCCTGGCTGAGCTCTGAACTAGGGCTCTCCATGGCACTGCAGGAAGAAGGGGGCAGGAGGGCTGAGGCCCCAGTTCTTGTTTGCCCCTGCTGGGCTTCGCTGTCTGTGGACGCATCCGTAACAGCACAGTCCAAGGCTGAAGGCTGCACTTAGACTCGGTCAGTAGTCACGCACTCCAGACTGTTCAAAGAATGCAGGTCATTGGGTTGATCTCAGACCTAATAAAGTTGCTGTTTCCCTATTCCCCTAACCCTGGGGGGTGCTGGGAGATCAGGGGAAGAGAAGTGCACAAAGCAGACTCTTTCTTAGGGAAGTAAGCAGGAACGGAATCAGTTCACTTCTGAGCTACTCTCCTGGCCGTGGGACGAGGCGAGGGAGTAGTGACTGATGGTCTTTATTCGGACAACAGGTGCCTCAGGAACCAAGCCAGAACCCTGACATACTGCAGCTGCTAAACGCTGCTCTGCCCTGTGCTCTGCTCTCCTCCGCATTAGCTTTTGTGAGTTATGGGGACCCCTGGAGAGAAGATGTGGATTTGTGACTGGAGACTGCCAGCCAAAGAGAGTCCATTAAAATATTTTCCAACATGTGCTGAGAACATTTTAGCAACCATTTCAACAAAGAAACATCTACTTGGTTTTAGTAGCAATAGCTGGGAACCGGTGTTTGTTTATATTCTTCGAGGATGTAAGGTACATGACTTTTTTCCCCTTCAGAGATAAATTGAGCCTTTACTAGACAGCTTTGCCCTGTCCCAGGTAGCTACAATTGGGTAGGTTTTGACAAAAGCCTCGCCCGTTTTTCTCTTGGTAAGCTAGCTTTGGTCGTTATATTAGCCATATATTGCTGCGTAAGAAATACTCCAAAATCAGCAGCTTCAAACAACATTTACTCTATCACGTGGTTTCTGTGAGTTAGTTTGGAGCAGGGTGGCTCATGGTTCTGGCTTGGGTGTCTCTCACGAGTTAAGATGTTGGCTGGGGCTGGATGTAGTCATATACACTCTTGTCTGGGCTGGAGAATCTGCTTCTGAGGTGGCTCACATGTCTGGCAAGTTGGGGCTGGTCACTGGCAGTAGTCCTCAGATCTGCACCACATAGACCTCACTATAGGGCTGCTTGGGTGTCTTCATACGGTGGCAGGCTTCCCCCAGAGTATCCAAGAGAACAGGTGGAAGTGGCCATGTCTTTTATGACCTAGCCTCAGAAGTCTTTGGGTGGCGTGGACCAGTGCTAATGCACTGCGGGAGGGCCCACAGGATCACTGGGAGCCGTCTCGGACACTGCTTACCACAGCCATGCTGGGAATAGTAAAATGAGGTGCGAAGAGCTCTGGTTTGAGTTCTTTTCCAACAGCCATGCCATGAATTGGGACAAGAAGCCACTTGAATGGTAGCGGCACCTCCCCTTCTTTGTCTGAAATGGAATTGTACTGTAAATAGAGGCATCAGGGACGAATTATCTTTTCCTCTTTTCAGCCTGTTCATGTTTGCTGTATATACTGAGGTGCCCCTCTGTTGGGTGCACAAGTGTTTATGATGTTTCGTCGTCCTCCTGGGCCGATCCCGTTATCGTTATGCAGCGCCCTTTGTGTCTGGTTAGTCTTGAAAGTTTGTCTCACGTAAGTATAGCTTTCTCTTGATTTCCATTTGTATGGAATACCTTTTTCTATCCCTTCACTTTCAGTCTGTATGTGTTCTTACACCTGAAGTGAGTCTCTTGTAGGCAGCAAGCATATAGGTGGGTCCTGTTTTTTAATCCTTTTAGCTACACTTGTCTTATAATTGCAGGAATTAGTCTATTTACATTTAAAGTAATTATTGATAGGTGCGTACGTACTCGGCCTCACTTTGTGTGTCTATGCAAGTCAACTTTCTCCTTTTTCTTGCTGATGGTTTCACACTGTGATATACCCAAATTACTTGTTGTTCTAGTAGTAATCTGGCACTTTTATGGAGACTTCTAACATCTCATTTTTCTACTTGGCCTTAATTTTTAAGATATAAGGCAACTTACTAGGTCTGGGGTTGGCAAATCATGTCTTACCTGCTTTTGTAAAGTTTTCTGAGAATACAGCCACTCACTGATTTAAGTATTGACTAGGGATACTTTAGAGTTTAGTTGCAGCAGAGACCATATGGCCTACAAGCCTAAAACATAAACTCTCCCTTTCAGAAAAGTTTTCAACTTCCATATGAAGTTATTTGGGGCAATGGATCACATGACTGGACATCAAGGCAAAGCACACTGGAAGGTGAGCTTAGTTTAATTTGAAGCCAGCCAAGGTAAGATGATTCTTCTCCATAGTTGTAAGTGCATAAAGGTTTATCAGGAAGGACTTTCTATGTGGTGTTCATTCAGGGAGCTTGGCCAGCAGGGACACGTGTAGGAGAGCTTTCCAGGTACAGACTATTGCACCCAGTGTGGAAATGACCAGTCTCCAGTACTAGGTGAGTGACTAGAGCATGAAACAGCATCAAGAAAAGAGAGGATCTTGTCAGAATTACTACTTGTGGACTAAGACAAAGGACACACTTCCACTAGAACAGAAATAAATTTTAATTCATTGAAAAGTGCAGCAGTGAACAGGGTCCTTTGAAGGGCACTTTCTAAGTCAGATGACTGAAATGACATAGAACCGGGTGGAGCAACTTCGAGGAACAGGTGATGCAAACACAGGAATTCACACAATTCAGGGTGACGTAAGTGGTGGTAAAACTAAAGAACCCAAGTATTCCCATCTAATTCCATTGGTAGATCAGAGGAAATACCCTTTGCTTTCTCTTAATAAGGATCCTGGGACAATTCTTTCATTAAAACAGTAATCCTTAATTTAGACACTTAAAAATAAACTTAAGAACATTTTTTATAGATTAAGGTATAACTTCCATGGCTATTACTATTTTGTACAAAAACCCTAGTGTTGTCAATTTGTATTGACAAAAAATGTATTTTGCAACAGCACCATTGGTCAAATTCAAAGATGTTCAAAAGGTGTTTCCTACTTGGTGATTGTATGTGAGGAAGAGCTTTGTAATAGGAAATTTTATAAGGCAAAAATCTATTCATTCCTACCGCCTCTGTTCATACTAATGGGCATACAGTTCTCTACTCTGAAGGGCACCAACAGATAGGGACCCGGCGTTCTGAAAAGGGAAAATAACCAAAGTTTAATAAATCAGTACAATTAAGAGAGACCAGGCAAGCCTCATACAGTGGTCCCTCATACATAGAGATTTTGAGAAGTTCAGTGCATTCTGTGTCTGCTAGACTATACAAGCTGAAGCCTCATAATGAAAGATGATTTTAACACAGATCGAGAATGAAGCCCATTCAGCAGTTAGGAAACGCACCAACAGAGTGGGCTCACTGCAGATCCCCATTATCCAGACGCCTGCTGACAGTGACGGATACATCAGCAGCTGACCTGTGTGTAATTCTATGACTTTACCTGCTTTCAGGAACCAGCATCAGAAAATGAATTAACTGAATAATATGACATCACAGTACAAGACCTGGTAAGAGTTGGTTTCTTTTTATTTGGGAATAACTATGGTCAACTTTCATTAATGTGGAAGTTGACTGAGTAACGTTAAGAATCAAAAGTCTGAATAAAGCCAAAACCCATATTCAACACTGTAGTTTGCTTTTAGTTACAAGTTTTTATAATTTCTTTCCCTAGAACATTTACAGCAGAGGTGTTCATTTCATCTGCCTAGTTCACCTCCAATACTACCAGTTAATGGATTGTATGAGGTAAAGGAATAGACCCAATGGCTATTAACCGACCATGGCTATCTGGAATTCTGGTAGAAAAGTTGCTTATGACCATGTCTTACAAAGTGCTTAAAGCTCAGCCTAGGCCCCTAAATAAAGCTAAAATCACTATTGCCTGAGTTGAACAAGTTACAAACCACAGCTCTTCCTCTCCTGCTGTCCCACCACTGACTAACCTTCCTGTGAAGAAAACAGTGGAAACGAGATTGGTCTTCAAGCCAAGAAACAAAAATATAGGTGTTCTAGTGAGGAAACCTCAACATCTGGTTTCGATGAGAATAGTGGATGGAACCCAAATTACACAAGATTCCAAAAAGTCAGGAAGAACTAATCTGAAAGGGAAGAGGTAGGGTAAAGTGGCTGATGCTTTGCATTAACTATAAGAAATTTTTATCTTAACAAATGAACAGAATGCTGAGAGAGTTGGAACAACTTCACACGTGGGACTGAAACCCAGACTCCCTGCTGGACAGGCACTTACTGCATCCCAACTCAAGCCCTTCAACCTGTCAACCTAAGCGCCCTCTCTACAGAAGGCCCGCAGAAAACACAGCTTTTCCCAGCCCTTGAAGTCTTTGTTCTCTGCCGAGTATTGAGACATTCCCTCAATACCCCTGCTGTTACCGGGTACTCCACGTGGTTAGCAGCCACCAGAAAATAGATGGCTATCACCCTCACGAACTACCTGGAATTAGCCTTTGCCAAAAGCTTACTATCCTGTTTTGGTGCAGTACCAGCCCAGACCCCAAAAATGAACTGAGCTTGGCTGACATGTTTTGAATTTGTGACTTACCACATTGTGGTGGATGCATATTATAAACAATGTATTTCTGCTACTCTGAAAACAATGGTACTTGTTCTTAATCAGATGATTTAGCTCTGATAGTTATTCTTCAAGCCATGTGATGTTAGTATTTTTTGATAGTGAAGTGCTCAATCTGAAATGCTATGCCGGTCCTTTGACTTTAGATCACACTGTATACCAAAAACATTTCTCCCCTGAAGCACTGCCAATTATCTGAATGGATCTGCAAATTCTGACTCTGACCACAGGGGAGTAATCAAGAACTAGAGCCCCAGGAGAGAGGGTAAGGTGAGGACAAAGACCCCAGGAGCAGTCCTATCAGCTGAATGGAGGACCAGGGACAGCTGCTCCTGACATAAGGGCGGAGTTCACAGTTTAACACATTGCACAGGGAGGTCGGCTGACGGGGTTGCTTTTTAAAACAGGACTTACAACAAAGCCAGTCCAGAAACTCTTCCAGGCGTGGTCTTGAAGACTAGCTACAGACACCTACTACAATCACTTCATCAGACAGGCGTGCAGGGGCCCAGGTGCAGAGGTCGCTACAGAAGATGTTTTGAAAATCTTCGAGTCCTGCCACCACCATAATTGTTGAACATGAGACGAGGGTCAAACCTGTATCTGGGGAGGAAAAATAAAAGGATGTCACATTAACTGTAGTTAACCACCGAGTAATTCACTCAGAATGCTAAGTGTAAAGGATGGCAGGAAGGGACATCGAAAAAACAATTAAGTCACCAGAAGGGAATCTAGTGGCACAGATTATGGTACAAAACGGGGACTTAATAATAAGGGCATATCAGCCAGCACAAAACAGTGTAGTAGAAGTAGAGAGGAGAAGAGAAACAGAAGTAGGTTAATCTTGGAAGGCATTAGGAAGGAGGCAAGATGTGAGCTGTTTTTTTTTTGAGGGGGTAGGGGGTGATCCCTAAGGTATAAAGTAGCCTGATGGATGAGTCTAGCACTTGGTAGAAGGCCCTACCAACAGTTTCAAAGCCCTAAAGCCCTTCTTTTACAGTTGAGACCAAGACTGTGGCGGGTAAGAGCACAGGTGTGTACCACAGACATGGCTTTGAATCTGGCTCATTATGAACTTTGGTAAGTCATTAACCCCTCTGGCCACCAATAAAATAGTAAGGCAATTTATGTACAACGGCTGGTACATAAGATGACTTATTTTACCACCCATGGGAAAGTAACTTGAGCTGAGACTGCAAACATAAGGACTATAGATGGGCTGGAAAGAGAGTTTACATGTATGTGAAGGCTATAAATAACACTATTTTACTTCTGCTTTATCTGCTATCTTTTGGGATTATTTTACAATAGTGGCTGGCCATTTTTTTTCCTTCCCATAAAGGGCCAGATAATAAATATTTTAGGGTTTGTGGACCATACGGTCTCTGTCCCAGCTACTCAATGTTACTGAAATGTAAATACAGCCACACACAATACATAACTGAAGATGTGGCTGTTCTAACAGGAGTGGCTGGAATGGGCCTGTGGGATTCTACAGGCCTAAATGTTTGGCAGAAGAGACTAAGCTATGGCTAAGGATTTAAAAGAAAATGAGTTCTAAAACTAGAATCCTGCTCCTTACTCATCCACGCACATTCCTCTCTAATTTGGACTGAAGAGCACTTCCTGTGAAGGTGGCTAAATAACATTACTACTCTCACTGCCTTAGGACAGCACCCTTCCCTCTCTCCTACAATCAGACGGTAAGAACTGAAATAATCCTTTCCCAGTGAAAGTTTAATTTTCAATTTTCAAGCAAAAGATGACAGGTTTTGCCATAGGCGGCTCAAATGCACGGTGTGCCGAGCCCAGTGTTAGTGGTGAAGTCACTGCTCAAGAGGAATGAGAGAGAGGAAAGGCGCTGCCTTGGTAGCTGGTAGTTAGACACCTTTCCTACCTTTGTATGCTGCAGTGGACTTACACATTTCAACATTTGAGAGTTTATACCTTCTGTTTCATTGTCTGTATTTAATACATTAAGTTTACTGGCAAGTATTCACATTTCTGTAACTGGGGTTTCTGAGAAATGAAGGCACATGCTCTCGGAAGGGCTAGGGAACAGGGTAGCACCTGGTCGGTTACTCTAAAGCAGCCCCAGGTGTCGCCATGCAATCAAGTGGCACCTGGACAGGCAGCCCAGCCAGGAGGCAGAGGAGCCCCAGTGGTCGGGGCGGGGCTACCTCTAACTAAAGCACCGACTGGCACCAAAGTGCAAGTTTCAAACAGCTCATTTTCCCAGCACACAGGCGGATGCACTGAGACACAGTATTCCCACGCTAAAGCGGGAGGAGAAATGCAGAACAGCTCAAAGCAGAAAGGACCCCTCGGCCTCCCTCACCTTCAAGAACAGCATGACTGCTAGAGCCAACTTGGCAAAGTCACTGAAGGAAATGGAAACTTACCCAGGGTCGAAAACCCCTGGAGTGCGGCAGGTGGGTCCAGAGCAGGACTGTAGCATCATCAGCCGGTAGTTCATCTTTCCTAAAAGCTCTGGGTCTATACTTTTAGCAATGTTTGTGATTTGGTGTGGGTCTGCAGTCAGGTTATAGACTTCTACAAACACCTATAGGAAACGAAAGGATGGAGGAAAGAGCAGGGGGTTACGTTTAAAGAAATACTCATGTGAATTCTTTCTAAATATGGAGGGAGGAGGTAGACAACACCCAAGGCCCAGGAAAGTATCATCTGGTCTCAAGATCCTCAAAGAAAAAAAAGATCCTCAAAAGCCCGAGGGTATCCATGCAACAAGGGAGCATCTGTTCTGGGGTTAAATTGCCTCGGTCTACAGCCCACATGCTGGAAAGGGCCCTTTTCAGGCAGAGTCAGGAGGGGGTTGGTTATTACTCTCTGTAATTAAAGCAGACAACAGAAGGCATGACCCTCAAATGGCAAAGCCTCAGAGACTAGACTTGGGAATGAAGTTACTGAGTGGGAGTTGACGTCTGAAGGTTTATTTTCTCCTTAGAATTGTGAAGATTCAAATAAGAATAAATAGGAAAGTACCTGTGTTTTACAAATGTTAGGGTTTCTTATTTTAAAATGCAGTTTTGGACGCATTGCTGGAGATACAATACTATTATTTCTAATATTAGACACGTCTAATATCACCATTTCCCCCCACTCTGTACTTTGTTCTCCAAATTGGAGTCAAGTGATAGACTAGGAAGATGGTAGGCAAATTTTGCCTATAATGGCTTCAAGTGGCTGCCCTTGGACAACACAAAGTAGTTATCACACTGAGAAAGATTATGGGGGAAGAGGAACAGGGATTGAACTGGAGCTCTCTTGCATATTGTCTAAAGTGCTCATGAGCTACAAGCAAAGGGCGAGTGAGTCAGCTTCTGAGAAACACGATGAGCGTTGGCCCCATATGGCAAGATGTGGGGAGCCAGATGGGGCAGGTGAGCACCCACTGATAAACAGTATGAAACCACAGGGACTGGAGTCCACGTGGTCCTTCAGACAGTCCACACTGATCTGTTGGCTGACAGCCACCTTCTTCCACTGCTGATCTGTTTGAGCAGCACTGGACTGTGCTGTGGTGGAGACAGTCGTTTCTGAACAAGTTGAGGTGTCTGACCCTCACCCCAAACAAGCAGGGAAGCAGCATTCTGAAAAAGTGAATGTTTGGGTGGTGGTGGGAGTGGAGAGCACCCTATCGAGAAAGGTCACAGAGAATTATAAATGGCCTTGGGGAATGCTATTTCCTTAGCTGAGGGAAACCTAAGTGGAAGTACATATAAGAAACACATCTTCCCTTGAGAGCATCCTGGAACAGCTCTTCTGCTACCAAGTCCAGCCAATGAAGCGCTGGCAACAGACACGGGTGGGGAGGCAGCAGGGCATCTTACCTCCTGGTCGTCAAACTCGCAGTACTGTAAATTCCACAGTGCTGACATGGTCCTCACGCAGGCATACGTGTTGTTATAAGCATCTTCACACACACAGTCTGGGAAACATTGCTGTAGGGATATTTGAAGAGTTAAATGAAGATAGTTCTTTTATAGTAACAGCTACCTGCCTACAGGGGCAACCAAACCATACATAGAACTGGACAGAAATTAGGAAACCTTCCACAGAGAAATGAGTCAAAAATAGGTATGCAGCTTTGTTCCTTACTGATAACAATGGTTAATTTGACTAAGGAACATTGTTGTGGTGGTTCTGTTCGTAGACTGTTGTCATGGGCCCCTGTAAAATGTATGGTTGGTAAGGAGGAGAAGTCAATCCTCAAATGAGTCACTGCTAAGGTATATTAGGAACTGCCATCCTAAAAGGCTGGGGAAAAAATGCTAAAATGAGCTTTGTGGAATCATCAGCAGGTAAGTTACTTATGAGTGTTTTTATCACCAAACAGGACTTAATTCTAACTTGTTTCTTCAAGTCTTCCATACCAACTTTTGGTTGCTTAGCTATATCATAACACCTTGGTATTAAAGAGTCAACTCCAAATGGAAGCCTATTTTCCACTGTCCAAAGTGAGGCCAATACCTAGGTGGGAGCCCATCTCTCTGTTGGATGCCTCTGACTATATCTCTAACAAAAAACAGTACCGCTATTGGGAAGGGCAGGAAGACAGGAAGGGGTGCTGATTAATAAGGTAAGAATAAGGGCAGGCACATGTACTTGTCACAAAAACTGGAAGAATTCAAAGTGCACATTCTGACAATAGGTCAGCAGCATCATTTTCATAATTCCCCCCCCCCCC